GTATCAGAGTTAGATAAGCAAATTACTTCAACGCACCAGAATAGACTGCATGTTCGTGGCGATTATATAAGGCTGATTTACATAGTACGGCTCCATGTTCTCACCAAATGGCAAACCATTTTCCTATGTTGCACTTTGTAAGATGCCAAATGTGAACCGAAGAAGAGATCAATTTGGATTGGAACAAGAGTCTCATCTTGAGAATTCGAATGACCAGATGGCAGTTGAATGAATATTTGATTGCACTTGCACACTCGAGTGCTTTCGAAGCGTTTGTTGCCATTCTGGAAGGTTTGGATGCAGTTTGTACCTGCGTACTTTTAAAAAAATGAGCTGCACAGATGCACACAAACGCGGCAGATCCATACGTATTTCTGTTTTACTCAGAACGATAACATTAAATTAACCATGTGGCGCTTAAGTTCGGGCGGCTCTGCTGGTGGTGTGAGGTTGATCAGTTTCAATTGGGATTCCATCTTGCCAGTGAGGTTAATCCATGCTGAAAAGAATAGGAGCACTGAACAGTTGCTTTAACCTTATGGGGAATCACGGGCGACGATGACCTCACGAGACTCTACATGGTCATCATTATCAGCAGCACGTCATCATTGTTCAATACAATGTTTCGGTGCAGTACAACCAAGATTTGTTTGGCAGTCTTATTGTGAGGAAAATAATAAGAGTGGATGGGTAAGGTAAGTAGTGATAGTCTGCCACAATTATCTTGAGGTACATACGACCCCAGCGACTTATGTAAGCAACAACGCCATTGGTATTCGTTGGCAGTCGTATCTTACACGGCCTACAAACAGGTGCATTAGGGAGTAGAAGGTTCCCATCTTGAAAGGCGAGTCGCACCGCCACCGCCCAGATACCTCGTGATCCCTTCGATAACACCCTACCAGACCATGGGTGGCCCGCTTTCCTGATTCTGCTACTGTAACTACGGCATGAAATCCACGACCTGTTCGTCAGCAGTCGGTCGCCTAACAGCTCAGCCATGAGTGACCAAACGAAAGTGTGATAAGCCCTCACTTAGACAACATATGGCGCCACTCATTGCTTAATCACAGCTATTGAGTGACTCCTCGAGTGCCGACTTCGTATGAGTAGTGTTTCAATAAAAGACAACACGTAAAAATACCTGTCCTGCCTAAAAGATTTGATTCCCCTAGGTGTCAGCTGTGTATCAATCTTCTGGAGTGATACTTCTTGAAAGACTTGTAGACAACTGAACGAGTACACTTCCAAACATAGAAAAATGTTCACTTTCCGTTTTCATACGCCTTCCACCGCATTCCCTAGCAGAAAACCACACCATCTTGTTTGATCAGATTACACCAACTTTAAAAGAACTTTCAATGCATTCACATTTTGCAGATACCATGTGAATCACATCCAAACTGAGTACGCCAACAGAAAACGTTGCCTGCCATGTCAGTTGTTAGAATCACTCGATAACCAGACTAACCAGGTGCCTTGGTTTAAGCCCCAAACCCCAGCCTTGGGCAACCCCTGAACAATCCAATGACTCCCTTGTAACAGTAACCGACAGCTTGATATCATTCCCCACTTCCTTGTAATCCTGATTCTTCCACACATCAACAATGGCCGAAGCTTCGAGCAGTAAACCTCGGCATATTGACGTCGTGTTATTCCACCGAGACTCAAGCAGACGGAACACCACTTTATGGAGTGCTACTGATAAGTTTGCAGGTAGCTAAAGCAATCCCACCGACGCCAGTCACAACCCCCAAGAACCCCATGAACGCGCTATTTTACACATTGTTGTAAGAAACACATTTTAGACTTAACAGGACCAAACACACACGATGCGTGTGTAATGACAGCCCACGTGGTCATATTTATCTGCTGGAGACTCGGAATAAATTTACTGCGGTATTTTGTTGATTTCTGGCAAAGTGGGTTAAATTGAGGCGATGTACGTGAAGCTTTCGACTTCTTAATATATTCTGTCAAAATGCATGAACTTTTCACATGGATCTTCACAGTCTATTGTGACTTAACGCCGGACAAGTCCCAGCAAAATTTTGAACCGAACATCGCCTTCGTGTTTTCAACAGTCACACGAATCTTGAGCAAATTAGTGAACGGGGTGCCTCATTTTTGCGTGAACCACATCAACTGCATTACTGGCTAGTATGCTGGCTTTTGGCAGAGCTATGCGTTTCAGTTACGAGTAATAGCGTTCTTGAATGAATCTTGTAGCTATACTTGGACCCTGGTTGTCGCTACAATAACAAAGAATGCATTGAACTGTTGAGACTATTTAGGCGATATACGAATTCACGTCAAGTGTTCTCTCAGTCTGATTTATGTAATCAAAGGAACGAGCAACATGTCTGACTTATAACTGAATGTCAAACAATCTATCGTTATTACGTCAGAGATTTCTGAGCCGGTTACAGCAGGGACTACCGGTGAAAGGTAGAAGGCCTTCGCTGTGGAGTTATTTATTAGGAAACGCCAACTGACCGGTTACACACATTGAACAGGGAAGCAAACTCTCATTTGCATCTTATTCACAAAAAACTGGACATCCATCTTCTCTTGAACGCGTCTTCTTGAACTTTCCTGGATATTCATTGACTCCAATCACTCATTGCTCAAATCCAAGCAAATGTTACAAAGCGATTCTACAAATTCCTCAACAGATATCCCCTTCTCAAAAGACGCAAAGATAAATTCCACGAACAACACATACTACTCGCATGCCTCCCCATCAGTAGTATAACCGTTACACCGGTAAATTACAGGACATAAGCATGGCTTCACCGTAGCGCATGGAAATCCGTGTGAAGCGATTTTCCACCGTGAGACTCTGCATGATAATCAAGTTTCTCTATGTGTGATCTTCATAGGAAGCATCCATGTTGAGCCTCTCCAGATGGTTCGTACAACAAATTTTCTACTTTGAGGATACTAGTGAAGGTGTCACGATAGTGATATCTGTTAGGATGTCTCTTAAATGCCTAGTGCAAATTTATGCGTCTGAAGACAACACACCAGGTGGATGCAACTTCTTCGGGGGTCCCTTCGCGGAAGCACGTACTGAGGGATCAACGAAAGCTGTCTTTTACGAGTGACCTTTTGGATGGTGGTCTTCCCGGAGGAGATGCTCCACATCATGAAAAAAAACTACCGGAAGTTGTCGAAAAATACACATGTCAACGCCTGAGAGTCTTGCAGAACATAAATGGTGTTATCGACGTGAAAATCCTCCTGAAATCCAGGAGTTTCTAGCGTCCGCACCACAGTTGGCCCTCTGAGACACCGGTTACATTGAAGAATAAAAGCATTGTATAATTTCTGGGAAGTAGAAACGCCGTGGTTCCAAACAGTTGTGACTGTGCACAGATTTTTGTCGCACTCCAGAGTGGTTATATCACGTGAGCAACTAGTAATAAATACCCTTCCCACGCTGGAAGTTTTATTCAAGTACAATAATCCTCATCAGCATAAGGAACGGTCCCAGCGAACAAAAGATTCGACATAAACGAAACTACTCATAAGGTTGCTGAAAACTCTTCGACAGCGCCAAGAAGCTCGAAAGCCCTCGTGGGCTGTCGACGGGCTTACAGCAGCCTTGCAAGTAGTTTCCTTTGTGAAAATATACTGCGACGTCCCGAATATCGTACCAACTGAAATATGAGGCGGCTTGTGTGCAATACATTCAGTTGAAGAACATCACAAACGAGAGATTCACTTGAGTATCCCGTGATAACCAAATTGATTTGTAAATGAGTGTATCTGTCGCGAAAAATTTGACACTTTAGGATGAACGGTACTGTGAAATTTGGTAATTTTCCAACTGAGATTTCATCTGCCGGTGAACTCAATCCATGCGGAAAATCTGAGAAACCATGGGCGACCAAACAGCGACATTAGTTCTTTTAGACAGGCTATAGTATCGCTCACCTTTCAATCACGAAAACCACACGACTCCGTCAGATATTGACCGGTCCCATGAGTGGCGACTCCTTGGACAGAAGTTGAACTCACCCTTGTGAATTTATTCTCTCTCTAACCAACTTATAGACTAATGGTAATGTGAGATCTGTTAATTTTCAAATTGGATTTTGTTCTGTCGGTAAATCCAATCTATGCGGGAAAACCTAGAAGCACAGAACAGCTGTTTCATCCTTATGGATGAAACAGTGCGCGCCTCACAAAACTGAGTCTCGAATCCGCGGTTGAACCTGTGTCGAAATACTGGTAGCTCGGGTGAGTTTATTAGTTGTTGATCAGGTGGCCGAGCATGCCAAATGACTTGAGAGTCAATTGCCGAGCTCAGCGAACAGATCAACATCAGACAGTGGTCGAACGTTATACCGAAGCTGAACGTATGCATGTACACAACTAGCCGGAATGTCGCGACTCTAGAGCTCTCTGGGGGGCGCGTAATATGGGCCCGGATGATGAGTCTCAACAAGGACGAAACAGATGTATAACGCTTCTCGACTATTGAGGTTGTTCTGCATGGGTAAAATAGAGTGGTCATGCATGTCCTAGGTTTAAAAACGTTGCAAACTTGCCAGATGTGACTTTAGTGTACACCGACTCGACAACTTATAGTGTGTAGCCAAGCTTTATTGTGATCACGTCATATCAACAGCACAAAAAGTGAAAACTAACCCTGGCCTTAGGTGTTTGAGAAATCGAACAGTATTTACAAAGGGAGTGCAAGCTGAAGTTCATCAGATGACTTCAGCTGGCGTTCTCAAATCACTGGTGAACATATCTTCACCATGAAACCGACATGCGGAAACAATGGAGGTGAAAGTTACCAGGCGATGTTATAGGTGTTCCGAAGAATGGTATTGCAGTATTATTACTGAAAAGAGCCGAAGTACATGTGATTATTCGCTCGTACGGTCGATAGAGTATCCCTCCAAAGGACCGATTAAACCGCCTTCTGTAGTCCGTGACAACGGGAGTTACCATTGAAAGGAAGAAGGCCTCTGCTGCGGAGTTATTTATTAGAAAATGCCAACTGACCGGTTACATACCATTGAACAGGGAAGCAAAACTCTCATTTGCATCTTATTCACAAAAACTGGACAACCATCTTCTCCTGAACACATCTTCTCGAACTTTCCTGAATATTCATTGGCCCAAATTGGCTCAAATTCAAGCAAATGTTACAAAGCGACACCACAAATTCCGCAACAGAGACACAGCGAAATTCCACGAACAACGCATACTACTCGCGTGCCTCCCCATCAGTAGTATCACCGTTACACCGTATTTGTACCCAGAAGGATGAGATTAAAATAATCCCGATCTCTATTCAGGACTGGGTAACACCGTTGAACCCAGCCAGAGTGAAGTAACAGTGAATAGCCACTTCGCAAGCCTTAGCGATGTTGACTAACGCTCTGATCATGATGTACAAAGGGCAGGACCGCATGGCGCTTCCCAAACAAAAGATGTACGATTAGGAAAACGGCAAGATTTGATTCCATACTGGAGACCTAGCCTTGTAGAATTGTCCCACACTGAAAACTTAGCCTAGGGTTTCAGGAGTTTAGTGTCGAAGTATGCTTCAAAGCTTTGTTCATAAAAATCACTAAGGATCACCAATATGCGAAAATCGATAACTGGGACTTGCATTCCTATGGCATAGTGTACTGGCCAGGCTGAATGGAAAAGACAATCACCAGAGAAATTAAGGAGCTAGAGAAGTTAAAACGTAATGTACAAGTTGGGAACGACTTCAAAAAAAGGTAGGAAGTGGCTTCAAGCAGTTGACTGTCCCTCGTTAAACGATTGTGCTTGAGATAACAGATTGTGAAGCCGAAGGGACTGATCCCGTTGTACGAAGGCTTCGATAGCTTCTGACAGACCGGTGGTCTGCCGCATGAATCGGAAAATACCAGCCCATGATCTGGAAAGTCGGTGGTCCGTGACGCGATCTTGCGGATAGTTATAGGTGCGAACTTTTTCCGATCGATCAAGGTGACCGATTTGGCAGCGGCGGAGAGACCGCTCGGATTCGGCTTGTGATTTGACCTTTGAATTCACGAGCCTGGTCAAAAGTAGACAAGAAGGGACGGGTGGTTACTGCTTCGGATCATCGAGGTTAGAACGATGCTTAATGATAGGGATTGTGATTCTAAGCTGGGAGGGTACTAGATAATACGGATTCTTTTGAGAGTGCAAAGTTACGCTCAGTGTTTCCCTAGAATCAAACGTTTTCATCGTCTTTGGTATTTGCTTTCCAACGCTTCCCTCCTCGGACGGATCACCCTACAGAAAATTAAAAAAAATCGTTCAGCTGTAGCATCCTTTCGGTGCCTAACTGCCATGCCACACAAAGGAAGCACGAGGGCTGGGATACTGCCAGGCTGCCCAAGCCTAGACAGGGGAAGTCGAGAGGCAGAGGTCGGGTTCGAATCACGGACCTTCCAGTCAGTAAATTCACGTTCTATTCACGTCCATCTCGCCCTCCATCCTACAGATGAGACGACTGTTGTCCTATCTCTACAGATGCTGCTCAGTATTGCCATAAAGAACCAAAATTTAGTTGCCAAAATAACCGGTTACCTTTCACGTAACGTCTCCAAAGCAATCCGTTTGTTCACGTGTTGACTTCGTTCTTGCTGACACGTGACGACAGTGCCAGTGGGGATGTGGGTAAGTCGCACAGCGCTATCAGTACGGTTCACATGTTGACCACCCGCTCCAGAAGCTCGGAAGAACGCCCAACTCAGGTCACGCTCAGGTAGGTCCACAGATATCTGTGTGGGTTGGATGAATCGTGCGAAAAGTGCTGAGCATATATCACAGGTGGGACGAAGAGTCAAAACATAGTTGAGACGAAAACAAATAGAAAAACAAAGGTCTCGAAGATCCATACAGGGAGTACTAGGCATCGAGACCAGGTATGGCAAACGCGGCTCACTGGTTACAACCGACACGCCAGACTGTTCTTATCAGGAAGGCATCACATTACAATCTAATTCCGATTTCTAAGGTTAATTTGTGCGTTGTATGAGGCGAAAACTCGAAAACCACTAGGAACCAAATGACGGGGAGACTTCAGTTCGTCAAATCGGTCTCAGAGACCAATCCATCACATGTTAAACTGTCAATGGGGCTTCGAAACTGTTCTCAGAAAGATCACCTCTGATAGGGTTGACTTGCCAAGCATCCAGACAACCGTGAACAGACTCGATAGTACCATTCGACGAAAACCGCCAATGCCTTATACGTATAAGGAAAAGGTCGTAGCGTTCCACGAGATACGTCTTGGAAGGATATGTCGTCAGTATTGTTGGTTGTGAATGTCATGGTTGGCTGGGATACTGCCATGGTGCCCACACCTAGAGAGCAAGACGATTAGGGTCGACAACCAAAGCCTTCGGCTCAAAAGCCTAACCGCAAGGCAGCGGTGTTTGGCAGGAAATGCGAATGCATTACCATTTCTACGGAACAAGTCGCCACATGTTATAACTCCCTGACTTGGAAGAGGAGTATGAAGGAGATCACGAAACGCTTGGGTGCTGTTGGTGTTACTCTCCTTCCAGGATGGGGACCGTGTGATCCTCACTGCACCTGGTTGGTGACACTACAAGATATGGCTGCCAACCGATGTCAGTGGCTTTCTCGCTGTCAGTCTCTATCCAGATTGCCCATCCAGATTGTCTGGAGGGGTAGGCACCTCGGAATAATTTTGGTAAGCTAGCACCAATTCCCTTCCCCGTCCACCTCTATTCTTTTCTTCACAATAAGGTTTTCAAATAAATCATGGTTGTACGGCAGTGAAACATCGGTGTTGAACACTGATGTCAGGCCGTCGATGATGATGATGATATGTCGTCAATTGGAAGAAACGTAAAGGACGCTCTGCGACTATGCCAAGGTAGGACAAATGGTGAAGTGCTTCGAATTCAACCAAGCCAAGATCAGTGTCAATGTGTCTACATCGCGCCATCCCTGAGAAGTGAAGAAACATATCAGGCCGAAACGGCCACCGAGGATCATCGCAGCCATTTGTGGGATGAAACGTAAGCCACTTGGGATTGTGTCATCTTCAGTCCTAAGAAACTCCAGTAAGAGTGGGACAGATACAATGAAATAAACAACGCATGGCATGTGTACTGACAAAAGCTGTTCCAGTCAAACGAAAGATGATACACACCACGGTGAGTTCTCAGCATGCGGAAGAGATTCGACAGTACGGCTTGAGGACTCCGGACCGTCTTCTTTTTATGTTAGCCTTATTAGCCCTAGTTTCGGATGCGACCGTTATCCATGTCTACCTCAGTTGGACGTGTGCCTCTCTTCCTTCGTTCCGGCTCGCATCATCATCAGCAGCAGCATTGACAGCACGATATGAGTTTTCAACACTGATGCTTCACTCACGTACAACCATAATTTATTTGAATGCCTTATTGTAAAGAAAAGAATAAAGGTGGACAGAGAGGAGCTTGGGCCCACAAGCGGCGGTTATTTCGACTCCATTATGTTATGTACAGTGGCACCCGTTAAGCACATGTCTAAAAAGCCGATGCTTGGTGTATTTTCATAATGTCCTTTTTGACAGTATCGCGTTGAACGGATTATTCCAAGCTTTCTGTTACTCAACATCCAGCAAGGGGAAGTGAGAATCATGGACTTTGGTTTCGTTGACCAGTCCGCCGAACTGGTTACTGACCTTCATTTATTGTACGCATCTTTCTCCGTCCATCGCACGAGGTCAAAGTGATACAGAGCACTGATGGATCATGACAGCGCATGGAAGCTGCTTGGCGGTTTTCTGGGACTGGAAAAGTGCAGACAAGTCAACTGGCAACTCACTTCATCACTAGACGGGATCACAGATACTGCAACAGTGCTTGTGTGAATTTTGCCTTGTTTACTGGTCACCGGAACTCGTTGCACACGATGCACGCCGGCCTCCCAGCGCAACTGTCCGTAGGCACCGAAACGCCTCGCGTCCGTTGCAATCGGATTGGGTTCTCCAACGATCTCCAGACAAGCTTTGGACAGGGGACTTTCCGAACCGGTTGAAATGATATCATCCCCGACCATTGTGAGCTCTTGAACCAGGGCGAAATGCCACCCACGATCCACACACAAAAGTCGATACATCTCCAGTAGCTCACGAGCAAATAAGCCTGCTTCACGACCACCAGCTCCGGCTATGATCTCCAGTGTGACTCCAGAGGAAAAGTACGTTGGGTCTTCTGGAACAATCAAGTCCAGGAGCTGAATGAGAAAAAAGGTTTGGTGTGCACTCATAAGGAAATACGTGCGAAACAACATAAAACTATCCACATGGACTAATCTGTCAGTAAATCCCATAAAAATTAATAAAAAGACTCATCTCTAGAAAAACCGGATATGGATGGAAAAACCAAATCGACGAAGCAGAAAAACTGTCTAATCACCATTCTCACGTGAAATTCACAAACATTCAAGGCGTCAGGAACGTGTTTTCACAAAGAAAAGTGTCTACAATTTAACAAACCAAGCGAACTAGAAAAGGATGAAATCAGCCTGCATAAAGGAGTACAAACTTTTTGTTCCAATGCCTGACGATGAACTGTGCGTTGTTCTTGTTCCACTCGCGCAAGCTCCATCAATTCCTTTTCCTCATCAGCAACGTCACCATCGCCACCGTCATTTAGTATATCTGGAAGAAAAAAAGTGAATTTTAAAGGGGAGACCTCAAGGATGAGGTTGACGGATTTTCCATTAGCAACCATGGTGTAAAGCAGCACCGAGGCGGCACGCACTAAGGAGGCGTTTGACCTTACAGCACAGTTCAAATTATTCGGTTTACGCCAAACTAACCGCCATTAGACTTCAGTCACATTGATAGCCTTGTCTTTGGTGAGTACTGCTGAGCCGAAGAAACGTAGCTTCTGAATCAGGGGCTCTTGAGATCCGAACTCATCACAAAATTCACAGGACATACAATTAACGGCGATCACGTTGTGTATACGTATGCATACACTGAAATCACCTGATAAGCGACGTCTATGAGAGAAAAGTGAAAATGATCCTACATGTAGGATATCTCCTTTACAGGAAATTGTGGTCCCCTCACAAAGGACTATCTTTGAAACCTGGTCAAAATGGGTCTGGTCCTTATGCGGAAGGACATATTGAACCTCTAATTTCCTTTGATATCAGGATGGAGTTGGATGGTCAGTTTTTGAAGAAATCGGTCATTTTCTTTTTTTGGGGGCACGAACATGAGGTTGCTAATTGGAACTAAGACTCCTTTGAGGCCATAATCGACAGCATGACACCAGTGTACAACACCGATGCTTCGCTGCCGTACAACCATGATTTATTTGAAAAACTTATTGAAAAGAAAAGAATAAAGGTGAATGGGGGAGGGATTTAGTGCTAGCTTAACACAATCATTCCGAGGTGCCTACACCTCCAGACATTCACTCAGGCAATCTGGATAGAAACTGACAGCGAGAAAGCCACTGACATCGGTTGGCAGCCATATCTTGTAGTGTCTCCAACCAGGCACAGTGAGGATCACGCGGTCTCCATGCTGGAAGACGAATAGCACCGACAGCACCCAAGCGTTTCGTGATCTCCTTCATACTCCTCTGCTGAGTCAAGGGTTGACCACCTCTCTGTTTACGCCACTCTGAGTTGGGCATGGAAAACAGACAGCACTCTCTTCGGCAAACAATGCTCAGGCATACGCAACACATGTCCCAACCAACTAGCTTCTGCTGCTGGACACATTCTTCAATAAAAGTACCCGTTGCACAGCCGAAAACTCGCTTTCTAACTGCCTCGTTACGGATTCGGCGACATCGACCCACACGAGCTATGGTTCTGAGACAACGAACACCTGAAGACGTCTCAGTTCCGCCGAATGAATAGGCCTAGTCTCACAGCCTAAACAATCAAAATAGGCATTGTATGACCTCTTCTGTGACTTTGGAAGCGATCTGTCATCCATTTTTATTCGTGGTCTCAGCAGTATTGCAAAACGCACAAGCTGGTTAGATGTCCAACCCATTATTTAGTGTCACGAGGGCTAAGAGTACACTAGTCCGTCAGAGCGAAGCGGAACCCAATCGCCACGCCAAGCATGTTTTCCTTTAAAACATTTGGTCTCTTTTGGGAAGCATCAGCAAACTTGTGGAAACTCTTCGATCCTTTTTTACGGTGTGTGTGCTTGCGGTTTCCGCTTTGTCCGTCAATCTAATGACAAGGCTCATGACACCGGACAGAAACGAACATTGTGTGTGTGTTTATTCCAAGTCTACTTAAACTGGTAAGCGAGGAAGTTATGGTAAGTAGGAGCCTCTGCCTTCAGAAAAGTTTTCAACTCATGTCATGCCGTTGTTGTTTTACGTCTGGCGGCAGCACGTCCATGTATACGTGATTCCAGCGAACCGCGTAAAATTATAAATCCAGATGACCTCCTTCCAGCTGAGAGCTAGAAGCGTCAGGAATACAAACTCCATGAATTTACGTCTTTTTTTATCCCCCTTCCCCCGATATACAATGCCGCCATATTTGGAAATTGCGAAAATATTTCATGTGTACGATACCAATGTCCCGCCGCGGGTGACTACCGATCAACCAAAATATGACTAATCACTACCCTACGGGTGCAATCAGTCAAGCTTTACGTAGAGCTCTGACAAGAAAATGAGGGAACCGAGACCTAGTGCCGTTGTTAACAAAGGCGTCAAAATAGTGGTAGGGTAAGAAGCCTACAACCTCAAAGTCTCTCATACCTGAAACCAAACGTGCGGCCTCTGCATCGGTTTCCAAAATCACATCCAGTTCTTCCAGCACATCAACAATTGGCCGAAGTTGATTCCATCGAGAAGCGAGGTCCCTAGAATGTATTGAAATGGTGAGTGAGTTGGGCTTGTGAGCAGACATGTCCGTTGCAGGGAGACTCGACATTCTCTAATCGCAAACGGAATGAGTGGTGTGAGTTAAAGATAGTTAAACAAGGGTTGATAACGAATTCGAAGCCAAGAGTAAAACCATGAGGAACCCTTACTGCACTGATGAACCGCAAGACATTAACTTGCCCCAGCTGCAACTGTTACCGTCAACCAGTGAGAAGGCTTCAATAAGGATTCCCCCCGCAAAAAGTAACTAAGCAGAAAAAATATCACAAACGAGAGACCCATTCGAAGCTTGGTTGAGTAGTTCACCCGTCAACCTCAAGATCCGGAAACCGCTTCTCCCTCTGTGTGTGTGGATTTTTAACCATCCGTAGATTTTCGAATCCGATTGGTGAACTCTAATAACTCGTTGGCCCCTGAAAACAGAGATTCCATGAGCTTCCCGAATCCACGCGAAACCGTTGGTTAACTGATTTGCAACACAGTGACATTATGAAACATTGTCTAACCGGGTAGAGATGAAGGACACTGTCCAGACATGCACATCAGAATAAGCCTTCCGGGTTGCAAATCGACCAAGACACAGTTACACAACCGTCCTTTACCGTGCAAAATGCACCGGACTAGGTTGTTTGGTTCCCGTTGTCTCATGATGTAGGATCGCTCCGCCCACCTAAACCAACAGAGCTGTTCGGTTTTCAACAAGGATAACCACCCATGAGGACGCTGAAGGCTCTTCGACAACCCAAGACCGGTTGAAGTTTTTGCCAAGGTTAGTGCTCCTTCAGCATTATACACTGTGACATCTCGCAAATAGTACCAACTGAAACACGAAGCAGCCTTTGTACACTGCCTTTAGCTGAGGAATATCATAAACGATGTATTCAGATGAGTTTGCAGAAAAAACGAATTGGTGTAAGAATGAACGGATGTCGCGAATTTCAAACAATTTGAGTTCAAGTAGAACGTCAGGTTGACTAAAGGGAAACTCGGAGGCTGTGCCTACCTGATATCGAAGTTTCCCGAGTTCGGTCAAGAACGTTATTCTGACCCGTCTGACTTAACCAGGAAACTTTTCCCAGTTCTTCCGCTACCAAGAATAAATGGTTCAATTGTTCGTAGTTGCCAGATTTGCACAAGTCACGCTCAAATCACGCTCGTTTGAACAGTCGTCCTCCTGTCCTAGTGCCATCATTCTGAAAAGAAGCACTGACTCGAGTTTTGTGCTTATTAGACCTCATCGTTAGTGCATATCCTTGGTTGTCTATCAGTTGCTTTCAGTATTATCAGTGATGTTGTCCTGAATTCCCCCATTGGCTAATCATCACTTCGTTAACTTGTACCTTTGTTACAGCATCGAAGAGCATTTCGCTCGGTGCATTTCACCGAGGAACAGCGCCCAACAGCTCTCCTACCACTGACGGCTGAAAAATTCAATGACAGAAGGGAATAGTTGACAGCTAGGGGCTTTGTCAAATCCAACGTAGATGGCTCAGTGGTTAGAGAGCAAGTCTACTGACCGGAAGGTCCGTGGTTCGAATTCGACTTCCACTGTCTGGGCTTGGGCGACCTGGATTCGAATTCCTGCATGGACACCTTCCAATTGGCTGCTAGCCCCCGTACTGAAATGTGTGTACATGTCATTTGAGAAACAAAAGACGTAAAAGATATTTTTCCATATGACAGTACCAAATGGCGTACGCAGAGTCAAGTAAAAGGTATGAACTAGAAGGAAAGACGTTGCCGCTTATTTTCGGGTCGTGAGGTATGAACTCCCCATGGAAGTGGCATCTCGGAGGGAAGGGTTACTGCATACAGTAAGACGACCGCTCTCTGTTGTGTTTCGAAAGGCTTCTTGGATCGTCACCGCCAGGAATTCTGTCGGGCTCATGAACACTCTTGAGGCGAACCGAAATATAAGTTATGCTATCCTACACTTTACTATACCGGCCAGAGAAGCATAGTCAGTAGTGTTTCGTGTTAACGGAGTGGAGCGCAGGCGGATGAGATCAATACACCTTAGTGTGTTCTTTCGGATGGCAGTGATTGGTTGGTATGAACCTAAGAATTGATGCGAGAACCCTATAGCATGGACGATACAATGACCCGTTAACTGAAGCTCCACAAAAACACAATACGGAATTGTGTAGTTGCTGCAACAAATGTAAGCAAAAAGCAAACGAAAGTCGAAACTCACTTTGCATTGCTTTGCTGGCCTGCTCCATTGGCTATAAGATTAGTCAAGTGTTCATATTCGGCAAATAAATGCTTCTTGTAGGAAAGAAACTTTGGCTCCAATTCTTTGGGGAGCCAGGGGAAAAGCGGGCTCGGAGCAACAGAATGTGTGAACCGCGAAAGTCCTGAAAGGCGTGACCAGTGCTGCTGAGTTCGAATGATGTACCGACCCAGAGAGAATACGGTCATATAAAAAGCTGTGGAAGAAAGCCCGTGTGAACGCTTGGAAAGTGACCCTGCAACTGATGATAACTACTAGAAAACAAACTTTCAAAAATAGTTTATTTCGGTTTATCTACAGTACACAAGCTAGAAAGACAAGTTATTCGGATGGCAGTCCTAGGAGGGCGGAACGTCTCTTTTCATGTATCGATCCACCGAGAGGTTCATCACTTTCAGTCGCTTCGACGGGCTGATCCAACAGATTTTGTTTCTCTGCAATATCGGACAATAGCGATGGTGGCGTCCACAATTGTGCCGAGGGAACCGTGAACAACATGAAATGCTCAACAATAGCTTCCACCTGTCGAACAAAACAACAGCTTATTTCAGCACAGGCATGAACACTACTCACGTTTCGGCGATCCATACTGTTTGATAAGGCTAATTCCTCGATAGTGCTTTGTTTAGTTTGGTACGCTTTAATAAGATTGACAGCCTGTCGCATGGTCAAACGTCCCTTCGGGACTGAATCCGGTACGATAAAACCAAAGTCTATGTGCGGTTCGGGGAAAGGATCTTGACCATAGACTTTCTGAAGAAATCAAAGGAGAATAAAAGTGGAGATACTTACCTGTGGTAGACGACGTTTGGATTCCTTCACATAGTTGATACCTTCAGGAAGTATCCCATCTTTGACCGGGGCAGAGGTTATGTCAAATTTATCTACACGTCTGTCGAGTTCCGGGTTGTGGGAAAATAGGTCCTCTAGTTGTTCGTGACTGAGCTGAACAGAGGGTGTCCCCGGATGTTTGGGGGCAGCAACTGCTCGCTTGGATGACTTTTCAATGTACTTCATGGCTCGATGTTCTACATCGAAATTCCGCACGAAACGCTTCACTGAAGCGAGTGCCTGGCCCATATTTGCTACCAACGCTCAGCCGAAAATGAAGCAGCTTGTTAGGCGCACCAAAACAACATGGTGAGATGCTCGTTATAGGCGAGGGAGAACGGGTTCTGCTGAAAATAACAGAGGTCGAAGTGGAGTGTTAATCCAAAGGCCCTGTGGATCTTGATAGGCGCAAGTAGTTGGTGAATTTTGAAAGCGAAAAACCTAACAAGAAGTGAGAAGCGAAGTCATAAAGTTGGATGCGAGGCGAAGAGACTGACCCACGTTAACAGCGCCCTACGTTCGCCAATAAAAGAGGCTTTAAGAGCTGCATTGCAAGTATATATAACTTACAAGAAGAATCCCCATATCAATAAGAAAGTTCGCAAAATGGAGGTATGGCTCACAGGAGTGTTACACAAGACCACATGGACAACAAAAGCTGAGCCATGGTTGTTTGATCCCACAGATGTACATGTACGAAACAATATTGCTAAATTCGGGGGAGACACCTACCCGCTTAGCTCCAAAAGGATGAAACCGGCAGTGGACTGCCAAAAGGAATCCAACAAGGGTATGAAATAGCGCCGTATCTATGAAACATGCTGCTACACTCTGGACACAGGCACGACCGAAACACTAGCGGTTCTTTGTGCATACAAGAGATATTCATTCGAGAGAAGTTTAATTCCACATAACCAGGTGCTGGTTATCGCAGTTTTGCAGAGGACCTCGGAAAACAAAACTAAATAAATAATCGCTCAGCTATAACACCCTTTCGGTGCCTAGCTGACATGCCACACGAAGGAGGCACGAGGGCTGGGATACTGCCAGGTAGCCCAAGCCTAGACAGGGGAAGTCGAGAGGCAGAGGTAGGTCATCAGTCACACGTTTCTAAAGAGTATCTAAACCCATTACTTCAAGGGCGGAAACTGGCTGTACTTCTAGTCTGACTTCTCCAAAATTTCTGGGAGAATGCCCGGGTTTACCGAGTAAATCAGTTCACTATTTTTTGCTCTCTGATAGAGTTATTACAGCCGATTCCGAATTCCAGGGCGTAGAAGAAGAGTTCGATTGAGTCACAACATCTCTTGGCTTCTTTCTAGGAGAAAGGGATGGGGTTTCGCGCAATGCGCTTATTTGAAAACCAATATAGTTTTGTTGGGAGACCAAACCGAACCAAACTGAATCTCTCCTCTATGGTATTCTTCAACTGAATGTACTGCACACAGGCCGCCTCAAGCTCTAGCTAGTAAGATATCAGAGATATCGCAGTATATTTTCTGTAAAGAACACTACACGTAAGGTTGCCAAACCGGTCGTAGGATGTCGGAGAATTTGCTTTGTGATAGTTGAAAATACACTGCGGTATCTTACTAGCATAAGCCAGTGTGCACTACACTCAGTTGAAGAATATCACAGAAGAGAGGTTCACCTGGGATTCAGTTGACTCTCCCGTTAAAAGCAAATTAGTATGCAAACATGATCTGGGTCCAAGTCGAAAATGAGGTTAACGGAAACTCGTGATGAGCCCCAGGGAAGAAACCGGTCTTGAAGTGTCCACGGATTTTCAGCAGTATCGTGTGGAGGGGTCTGGAATTCGTTCAAGAGGTTCTACCGTCAAAAAGGGGCTGAATATTGCCATTGTGATGGTTTAAGGATCTCTGCGACTCTCTGAGCCATAGTGGACGGCGTCGGCGCGACACTCGCAGTGTCATATGAGGTTCGTCATCAGTTACAGGTTTGGTTAACAGCCTCCTTGCCTTCCATGTTGGAAAGTGCGTAACTCACTCTTCAAAGAATATGATGCACTGGCACGCCTCACCGAACACTGATACTTTGTGGTCAAGTTTTTTTCAGCATAAAGCCTTGCTTCCTGACACTAATCGCTCGCCTGTATAGCTGTGGGCAGCCTAGCAGTATTCCAACCCTCATACAACCATAAATTTCACACCATACCGATCGCCGCGTGGTGTCATCAGCCAATTAGCCTTACATGTTGCATACAGTAGAGTAAGTAAAAACAGCGTACCGCTGACACCTCCCTTCCCTATCTTTCATGTACATTTTCTCTCTCTGCAGTACTGCCCAGTTAATAACACTCTCCTTGTAGGCCCATCCGCTGGAACTAACGACCCTGTAAGTGTTACATTGGTACTGGCCGCAACCCTTGTGCGCCAGCCGGCGCAGACAGCCTCAGGCATTTAGAAACTGGTATTCAAGCCTCGATGGCCTGGCTAGCTGATTTCAGTGCTCGCATTCTAAAGCAAGCGTGAAAAAAAGCTGCTCTTGCTCTCGCACTGGACCCGCTCATTTTAGCAGAGACAGGCCCATCCGCTGGAACTAACGACCCTGTAAGTGTTACATTGGTACTGGCCGCAACCCTTGTGCGCCAGCCGGCGCAGACAGCCTCAGGCATTTAGAAACTGGTATTCAAGCCTCGATGGCCTGGCTAGCTGATTTCAGTGCTCGCATTCTAAAGCAAGCGTGAAAAAAAGCTGCTCTTGCTCTCGCACTGGACCCGCTCATTTTGTGTAGCAGAGACAAAAAATCGAGATCCAAGTACATTCACTGAGCTGACTGCCCCCCATGACCTCAGTGTCCAACACTGAAGCTACGCTGCCGTACTCATGATTGTGCAGAGATCGGCATGGTTCTGATTTAATAGAACAAGGGATTCTTGCTTGACTAAATAACGGCCGATGATCGCCCATGTACGGTTTGTCTGGGGACGTCCGTCACGTGTAAGGTTAATCATTGTATGTATATATTGTGTGCCGAACCCCAACCAACTGCAGCCCTAACACCACCAAACGCAATTTTTAAGACGACCAGACTTAGCGCATGAGACTGGATTAGATGGTCAACATGAATTGGACCCTGTATGCACGGCTGTCACGAACAGACTGGACCTTACCGTGGGATGCGGGTGTGCTCACCTGTACTGTACTAAGGAGTGTCCCCATGACACTCACAGTCTCTCATACCAGATTGGCCAATGGTTAGAGGTCTGACGAACACAGTCTCCTGGTCCTCCAGGTTGGGGGTTGGAACATGTATGGCAACTTGTTCCGTAGAAAAGGCAATGCATTTGCATTTCCCCTCCAAACACCGCTGCCTTGCGGTTAGGCTTTTGAGCCAAAGGCTTTGGTTGAGGACCCTAATCGTCCTCCTGTCTAGGTGTGGGCGCCCTGGCAGTATCCCAGCCCTCGTACAACCATGACCTACACAACTAACAATCGGTCGTCGCGTGGTGCCATCAGCCGGGTCGCCTTACTTGCTGCATACAGCAGGGCGGGTAAGCGAAAACAGGCTACTGCTGACGCCTCCCTTCTTTCTCCTTCACATACTTTTTCTTCCCCCTCTCCCCACCCCATTAATAACTCTCTCCTTGTAGGCCCAGCACTTAGGACTGATGACTCCGTTCTTTTTGCATCGTATTTGCGTGCAGCATCTGCTCGTCAAATGCCGCCGACATTCCCAGGTATCTCCAAATCATTCTTCAAGCCTCGACACCCAGTCTATATGGCCGCCTTCAATGTCCGCACTCTGAAGCAAGCAGGACAACAAGCTGCTCTTGCACTCACACT